CTCATTCTGTCTCTCATAGTTGAGGTATACCTAGGATGAAAATTACAGGCCTCTCTCATCTTTTTAAGTGGGAGAACTTGCACAATTGGTGGCTGACTAAGTGCAAGAGAAGATACAAGAGCTACATAAAGTGCAAGAGGAGACAACCCTGTGTTAAAGTGCATTTAGCGGTGATTGCACGTCTGTTTGTTTCTTAACCATTCTTTGAGTTGACCTTTGAAGCTATTGAGAGTGAGACAATCCCGTATCTCAGTTGGGAGGCTATTCTACAATGAGCTGCCTTTAATGAAGAGGACATTTTGTTCAAAAGTGGTCCGTCTGCGGTGGACCTCACAGTCTCCTCTGGTTTCTGACCTAGTGCAGCGTCCAGTGTGTTTTTGTGGATGAATTCCCCTAAGGGGTAAACATTTATAAAAAAGCACACAAGAAATGTTGTTTTTCAAGGATGGAAAAAGAAAGCAAATACATATACATAAGATATGTATGTATCTTGTGAACTATAGCATAATGCGTTCTCCAAACATGCAATGCAGTTTATTCAGTACAGGTTTATTTTGTTAATTTACATTTACGATTCTCTGTGGGAGGCTCTCATTTCTTATTCGTATATTCCGCCCAAAAGCATTGGCCTACAACCACAGTGAGATAAGAGGGGAACTGATGGATAGGTGGCCATGCCTGAATCATATTGCTTTAGGGTGATCATTTCACCTAATAAGCCCACATAATATAAATGCAGATATTCCACTATACCTTTGTATTATCTTAGGGTAATGAGGAATTGTAATATCAAATTTGTCCTTTTTCGATTTTTTAACCTAGAGAGAATGTACTCAACATTAAAAGTATTTGTGAATTGGTGATGCTGACTCTGAGAGGTTGCATACCCTGGACAATAGTTATATACTTTGAATGCAGTCCATGCAGCATTACAAAGGAAATGGATCATATGGCAGACAAACATTTTGTGTAAATGTAAAAGGTCAAATTTCTGTTGTTTCTTTTTACATATATTTTGTTTTGTATGCTAGTGGTTAGAATGGAGTAAGAGTATCGCATGTATCTCTAAATACTCTTCAGAAAAAAATCAAATAAGGCTTCATCTCTGTTAAAAGTATTTGTGTTTTGCTTCTTTCTCAGCTGAGCCTTTGTATTTTCCAGCATCTTTTACAACACCAGGGTGTAACCTGCAGTCAGACAAACACATTGCCTGACACATTTTGATTTGTATCGTGTCTATGGCCTCAAAGGGTTTAGGTTTGCAGCAGAATGTAAGCCTGGCTGAATGCTGCGGCAGTAACCTGATCTGAGAGTGAATCAGTGTTTCTACATGAGCCCAGCTGCTCCAGTCTGACACCTGTCCGGCCCCCTGTCCATCCCCACAATATTCACAGGACCAGTCAACTATTCCCCCAGCTGACGCATTGTGTTTCTTTCAATGAATGTAAGGGATAGTTTATAGTTTTCATACTTAAAGGTGGGGTAGGTAATTTTGGAGAAACCAGCTCGAGTGCGCTAGAATTTGAAAATACACAACCGGAAAAAATCTGCCACTTCCTTACAGAGCCCCTCCTCCAACACACACATGACCAATGAGGGCACGAGATAAGTTTGTGCACAGATGGAAGGCTGACAGGCAGGTAGGCCATCCAGTTATTTTAGCCAGACCGGCTAAAATGATTGGTCGTGCTTTTTACAGCGCTACGGCTTCCAGAGATTAATTTTTGTATGTATTTATTGTCAAAGCATTTAATATATTCATTGCTATCGGGATGTTAAGAGCATTCCATGGAATAGAACAAAAAGTGTTTCTGAAATAAATTACATACCCCACTTTTAACTGATCCATATTATTACACAGTTCATTTTCTTATATACTTCGTGCTTCCAGCATTTGGAACATGTTCAAAACCCTTTGATTGAATCTAATAATTATCTAAAGCTGTCCCCCTGAAATATGAATTAACCATTTTGTGGTCCATTTGTTTCATGTTTTGTTGTATTTTTGTTAGTTTTTTTTAACATTCAGGACAGTGCACAACTGAGAATCAGCAAATGAAAAATCAAGGGCATTCTTTCCAGAAGAATCTCCCACAAATCATCTATTGACGGTGACAGTTTCTGTGTTTGTTGTTCTGTCCAAATGACATCAGTGACATCACAGTGATTTGTGGTAAAGCATTGTAACGTCATATTGTAGTTTGACATCTGTATGTGACATCTGTATTTTGTAGTGTGACACCCAGCGACATCTGTTTCCTCTCTGTGATATTGATCTCGGTGCTTTAGGCTGAGTGCTGCAGTGTTTCGAAAGATGCTGAGTCATGGGAGACAGCACTGCTTCAACAGGGCTTCAGAGATACAGGGTGTGGTACCGTAATCACTGTAAGCACACTGTAGGAGAAGCTCCATCATGAAGTACTGTACTAAGACAAAGACAAAGCATAAAATGGCAACATCTCCTCTCAGGTATTCATGCATTAAGCTACAGCTGATATGCTCAAGCTGTCAGCACAAACCACTCAATGCCCTTCATCCCCCTAAAGAAAATGATCTATGAATTATTAATAAATAATAGCACAAGTCAAAAGACTGAAGAGGAACAAAGAGATATGCACAAAGTCCTGGGGCTGTCCTTTCATCCTGTTTGGCTCAGTCACTGTTATTACTGAAATAAGCTGACATGTTAGTCAGGTCAAGTTAGTTAGTACTGAGTTCATGCATCCACATAAAGTGGTGCAGTGCTGCTGCATTTTGTAGGCCAACCCCAGAGTAAACATTGCAAGGGCTTCTTCAACAAAAAGCAATATCAGTTTTCCATTGGATCCACAAAATAAACTGCTCTGTGAGGTATGACACAGCAGTCGATTACACTAAATGATAACCTAACCTGCGAAGTAAGTGACAAGGCTAATGATTAGCAGGCCAGTTTACCATGTTCATTAGCCTACTTTAGCTTTTTAATATGCAATTGTATGCAGAACTCAGACAACCAAAACATATCCAAATTAAAGGCTTCAGCAGCTGTACCTTGGTGGACGGTGTATGCATGTCAAATGTTGCCCTTTAGTTTCAGCAAGCAACTGAAAATGACCAGGCCCACTGCAGAGAATGGCTACAGAAAGTATCCTGACTCATCCTCTCTGTGACATAGCACTGTGATGTTGCAAACAGAGGCCTTTGTGTGTCAGATTACAATGCGCACACAGAGGAGACTATGAGCATGACCTACATACTGTATGGGAAGCATGGCAGACAGTGGTGTTCCTGTAAAGAATATCTAGGCCCAGGCTGTTGAAAACAAAAAAAATTTTTTACACTAAAACAATTACGAGAGACGTACTACATGAATAACTATTCATACACCAATGAAAGCCTTTACCAGTCTGTGCAATAATTAATCTACATACAAATGTATGGCATTCATTGATACTGTGCTGAAGACTGGGTAGGACTATCTAAAGCTTATATGCATCCCTGAACTAAGGCCAGAAGTCTGCAAAACCGAGTAGGAAAGCTTATCGTCACGGCAACAGCAACCCAGTATTGATACTCCCCCAATTGTCAAAGACATTGCAGCAGACATAGGAGCACTGGCGACGCAGCCAATAACTATTAACAAGCCATCAGCACTCATTCCACAACTCTGCTTTCCACCCACAATAGAGTACAATTTTAAAACATTGTCTCCAAGAATCCTGTACTTCTGAACATTGTTATGTTTAAATGAAAGGCTACATTGAAACTGAATGTTTTGTCATTCATTATCTTAAGAATTAACCATGATTCAGAGATGCTCTGTACGAGATGTAGGCTTATAGCAGCTGAATCAGGTGGAAACCTTTGAAGAAACCATTTTACAAGATATCCCTACAGAGGTTTGGTTTCTGTGTAAAATAATTTCCATACTACTTATTTATTGTTACCTTATCAGTGCATCACATCTGTTTTGCATAGGCCTGGCAGGCACTATAACCATGTTGTATACTAAAATCCTTCTGGGCACTGCAAAGCTCTTTTTGATAGACTGCATTTCATCTAACTTACACCCAAATGCAACTGTTCTTCAGTATCCAATGGTGTCTTTACTTGGACATGAATGCATGCATGGACTATTTATGAATTCAGTTTATTGGAGAGCAGTTTTGTTTATGCAACATTATCATGTAGATAGAAGAAGCAGCTTTTTGTTCTGATAAAACCCTACATCATCTCATCATGAACTGTACCAGAGAACAGGGAACAATGTGTACATTTAGCTGCTGTCACCGAGACGCATTGAAAGCTTTTATTGGTTATTATCAGGTTATTATGTGTCTGTTAATGATGCGTTCGTAAATCTGCCAATAGATTCGAGTTGGGGAGAAAGGGGCGGGCCTTGTTGTTGTATAAAACCAATGTTTGAGCCGCCGCGCCGGCACAAAGAGAAGGGCGTTGTCGTCTGTGAGATCTCTAACCAATATCCAGAAAGAAATATGAGGGAAATTGTGCATCTCCAAGCCGGCCAATGCGGCAACCAGATCGGTGCTAAGGTTAGTAAGGTTGCAATTAGCCCTTTTTCTTCTAAATTGAATAATTTTCATTCAGAAATATCTTATTCTCTGCTCTGGGAGCCGGTGCTTTGTGCTAGTTTGGGTCCCATTTTTGACCCAACCCTTGGAACATTTAATGGGCCCTGCTTGTGAAAATTGAAATTAAATTATTAATATAACGTGTTAAGGGCGGTATTATGTCAACGTATTGACGAATTAAAACGATTTAACAGCCATCCCATTTTTGACCCAACCCTTGGAACATTTAATGGGCCCTACTTTGTGCACATTGCATGTAAATGTTTAATATAACGCATCAAGAGAAGTATTATGTGAACTTCTTGACGAATAAAAACTTTAAAAATGGTTTAAGATGTTATCAAATGTTTTGATTGAGATAAATAACTGTCTGTCCGGTTGTTGCTTTCAAATACTTACGGTTAACGTTTACCGTTATATCACCATTGTTCGTTTGGCAGCCGTTACTGCAATGCGTACAAATGCTGCACTGTTGTTGAAAAAGAGAAAAGCACCACAAACTAGTAATGTTGTATTAAAACGTCAATGATGTTAGTAGTGAAAACATGTTTTTTTTAGTATTTAATTGATGTTGGTTACATTTATAACGGGTCCGTCTCAGTGTAAACGTTTTTAGAGAGTACTTGTCCATGGACAGGTGAGTTTGGCAATTTACTTGTCCGAATACATGTTTCACTTGTAGCTATACTTTGTGCATGCTGCACCTATTTTAAATATTATTAAATATCAACATAAAGCATACAAAAATCTGGGTTACCATAACCAAGGTAACATGTTATTGTTTATTTGTTCATATTTGGCAAGAAACATGCTATATAAGAATTATACACTAGACTAGTAGTAGCCCTAGCACAGTGTCAGTGTCAATATGTAGACCCCCTTTCAAACCCCACCTGTATGTTTGTTTTTTTCAAAAATTATTTTACATACCCCTTTTCAGGTCCATCAGTACATCAATTGTAGAGTCCCCTTTCATGCCCTTAATCCACTATCTTCTGACAGAATTTATTTAAATTGTTTTCCTTGTTAACTGAACACACCATTTTACAACTGTGAGAGGATGATGTGTACAAACCTTCTTAGAAAATAAATAAACCTTTAGTTGACCTCTTGGGGCCAATGGAATCTTCTTCTTCTGCATCGTATTTGACATTTTCCCACGGTTTTACGACTATATGCCATACATTTTTGCATACATTCACAGTAAATATTTATTCAGTATGATAGCTGTCTAACAGAAGTTAAATCCATTTCTCTCTTATTCTGACAATGTACTTAACCCCAAATAAAAGAACCCAATAAAAAGAGTTGTTAAATAATAGTGAAGTCACGTTATAATAACAATAACTCATCTCTCTAGAGTTTTATTTTTCAGCTTTGCCAAAACCCACTGTGTCAAGTGTCCTTCTTGGGTTGCCGTCCGGAGTTCTCCAATATGGCGGACCATCTCGCACATGCGCACTGAAGATCGGGCAGAGCTTCAGATCGGGTAGTGACACACATGACAAAGGAGGAAGTGTAAAGCGGTCGCAAACAACAATGGCATACAGGGACAATTTGCGAATGAGTTCTGCCTTTTGTAAGCTGAATTTATCAATAATTTATCAATAAATATGGGCGAAAAACGTCACTTTTCCGTCGGACATGTCAATGGAAAGATGTACTTTTCCGATATTGTAAATAACACGTCCCGGACGATCGGACGTGTGCTTTTTCGCAGACTAATTGAGGCCTACTGGATTATGCCATACTGAGCTGCGCCGGGCGTTTGCCTGAATTGGGCAGAGTTATTGCATTTTTTCAATTTCATAACACAGGAGTTGCAGCCAATAGGGGATCAGGGCGCGTGTTGAAGTCAGCCCGGCGGGGAAAAGAGTTTAATCCACTACCATTTATCAACAATTATAACAGACTGCGAAATACACTCGTAACTGTAAATAAAATGCACTAATGAGGAGTGGACTGTTGTTCCAAGTCCTTTTGTTGGATGTAATGACTAACCATTTTTGCTTCCGTTCTATAGTTTTGGGAGGTGATTAGTGATGAACATGGTATTGACCCGACTGGTACATACCACGGTGACAGTGACCTGCAGCTGGACAGGATCAATGTCTACTACAATGAGGCTTCAGGTAACTTCTAAACAGCCATGATTTCTTATTGAATTTTATGTTGAATCTTAATTTTGGCCATGTTCCCTTACTTCTAACCTGTGGTTTCTAGGTGGTAAATATGTGCCCCGTGCTGTGCTGGTTGATCTTGAGCCAGGCACCATGGACTCAGTAAGGTCTGGACCTTTTGGCCAGATCTTCAGACCAGACAACTTTGTGTTTGGTAAGTGATATGTATTAGAATTGTTCACACGGAATGCAGCATCTTCATTTATGATTCTTGTCTTGCAGGCCAGAGTGGTGCTGGCAACAACTGGGCGAAGGGTCACTACACAGAAGGTGCAGAGCTGGTGGACTCTGTCCTGGATGTGGTGAGGAAGGAGGCAGAGAGCTGTGACTGCCTTCAGGGCTTCCAGCTCACACACTCCCTGGGTGGTGGTACAGGGTCTGGAATGGGCACCCTGCTCATCAGCAAAATCCGTGAAGAGTACCCTGACCGCATTATGAACACCTTCAGCGTGGTGCCTTCCCCCAAAGTAT